CAACAACATCAACAACAACAACATCAACAACAACAACATCAACAACAACATCAGCAACAACAACGTCAGCAGCAACAACAGCAACAAATATTTAAAAGTTTCGGTGTGGAAAGCCAAAAAGTAGTCTGCATTTTTTTGTTGATTCTATTTTCTTATATAATTTCTGTAGATGTTAATAAATTTAAATTTGTTATAAGTAATTTTAGTAGTAGTAGTAGCAGTAGTAGTAGTAGTAGTAGTAGTAGTGGTGGTGTAGTAATAGTTGTAGTAGTAATAGTAATAGTAGTAGTAGCAGTAGTAGTTGTAGTAGGTAGTAGTAGGCAGTTGTAGTAGTAGTAGTAGTAGTAGTAGTAGTAGTAATATAGTAGTAGTTGTAGTAGTAGTGGTAGTAGCATAAAAAAGCGACAGTAGTACTAGTAGTAATACTAATAAAAAGAAATTCAACTATAGTGATAAATAATAATTAATTGCTGAAAATGTTAAACAATGCAAACTTTTTAAAAAATATCTATAAAAAATATTAGTGTGTATATATTTTCTCTCTCTCTCTTTTTTTCTCTCTCTTTCCTTATCTCCCTTCATATATATGTATATTTATATGTGTGTATATGTGATGTTTGTATGCATTCTAGTCAGATGGTAGTTGAATCAATTTGATATAACTTTTCATTTTCTAATCCATCCACTTCAGCAGCTAACTGTGCCGAACAACAATAACAACATTAATAACAATAATAACAACAGTAATAACAACAACAACAATAATAATAATAATGATAATAACGTCAACAACATTCATCATCATAAAAAAATGAATGTTTCGCCAAAGTTAAAGTCCAGAAATAATAATAATAACAATAACGATGATGATTATTCTTCCTGTGGTTATTATTGTTATTTTTTATTATCGGTTTGGGAAAATTATGATTATTATTGTTGTTATTAATATTATTATTGTTGTTGTTGTTTGTTGATATTGTGAGAGAGAGAGAGAGAGAGAGATGAGAGAGAAAGGGGGGGGGGGGAAGAAAGAGAGAGAGGGAGAGAGAGAGAGGGTAAAATTTTAATTAGAGATCACAAAATAATGATTTTACACCATCAGCTACGAGATCATTGTCATCATCGCTACCACTTCCGGCCAATACTTATTTGACCTTGACATTGAAAAAAAGGGATCTGGACAAGGCCATTAAAGATAAGCAGAATAGAATATTCCCTACCGATTTTTCAGTAAGATGAATGGAGTTCTTGGAATTTATATTTTCAAAATGTTTGAATCTTTTAGGCACCAGACGGAAAACGATTGTTTTTCCAGTTAGCCATCCATACAGATACAAACAGACACATGCACACACACAAATTTGCGCACACACACACACATACTCAGCGACACATCTGTAAAAACCTACGAACAAACGAAAGACGTGAACATACATACACACAAACAAACAAACAAAAGACATGTTCTGTACATACCCAAAAACAAACACACACAGATAACATTATATTTTACGAAATCCGATCCATCCACATCACCGTTACTACCTGCGCCGCCATTAAAGGAAGAAGAGGAAGAGGAAGATGACGAAAGTGATGAGTCCGACGATGACGCAGCTGAATTCCCTCTTTAGAGACGAATTCGTTCTTTTGACTGTTATAAATGAATATGTATGTGTATAAGTTTGTTTATGTCTCCAGACATGCCTGTATAGGCATGTTTGTTTGTTTATGTATGTGTGTGTGTGTGTGTGTGTGTGTGTGTGTGTGTGTGTTTGTGTATTTATATTATTGAAAACGTTTCTTCAGTTTCTATATATATAAATATAGAAGGAGAATACAATGTATAGGATTTTATATTTATATGTACTAATTTGACTTAACATATTTGCGCTAACAGTAAAAATGATATTATCCTCATTATATATATATATAATTATATATATATATATTATATATATATAATTATTTTTTTTTACTCATGCACTTGAATTAGTCTAATTTGCTGATAGGCACGAGTTAACATAGTTTGTGTATTCATTATTCCTCACTTGGTTATAAAATTATATATATATATATATATATATATATATATATATATATATATAATTATTGATGAAAATCACAACCTGACATTTCTGACAGTCTTAATCGTCTTAATTCAATATATATATATTATTTAATATTATATAATATATATATTATTTAATATTATATAATATATATATATATATATATATATATATATATATAATATTGATTAACTAACTATCTTAGCTAACTAACATGCTGTGATTTTCATCAACAATATATTTATATATATGTACATATATATTGGTTACAACTACTCTTATTACTTAATAAATCAATGTTTTTTGATAGACTGTCTTAGGACTGTTAAATATATATGTGTGGATACTTGTAAATATACCAGAAGTCTACTATTTTGGTGTTTTTCTGTCAAAATTGTTATATCGCAATAAAATATGTAACAATTTAAGATATTTTTCATTTATTCAATTAAAATTTAAAAAAAATCCAACTATAATGCAAAACAATGTTGATGATGCCCGAAGTGAGTTAATTTACGGTATATTAAATAAATTAATAAAAAATATATGTATATCTACATATATTATATGTTTGATTGGTTGGTTGGTTTGCTGCCTGATTGGTTGGATGGTTGGTTGGTTGACAGAACAGCTAATCCATTGGTTTGAATTTTTACGGTAGATATAAAGTACCTTTCTTTTGGTCTCCTCTTTATTATTAGGAAATGTTTAAGTTTCTTTGCTAAGCGATATTTAATTTTCGCGAAGTTTTTAAAAAAATTTTATAATTATATAATTGTGATTATTTTTTAAATTTGGAAAATGGCAGCCAATAAAGATTTTAAAAAGGCAGAAACCGTCGGAGTTTTCTCACCGTACGTTCATCTGCTGAGTGCCGATGCTAAGTTCCGTCACTGTGATCACTGTTTTGTTTGGTTGGTTAGTTTTTTTTTATTAATTTGATTTTAATTGTTTTACTGTGTTTAAAAAATTAACTATATTAATTTATAATCAATGATGTATTTTAGTAGATTAAACAATATATAATTGTGATATAAGCATGTTTGTTTGTTAATAAATAATTAATTAATATAATTTATAAATAAGACTAAATCACTAAGTAAGTAAGTTTTAACAACTTAAAATAAAACTAATTACTAAGGTGTTAAAACTGTAAGAGTTAACCAGTTAATGACATAAAGATTAAATGTTAATAAGTGTTCTCATTGCTAAAATTGAGATAAGTGCTAGGAAACTTACAAGTATATAATATATGTCATGATTTTGACGATATTGTAAATTTAGTTCAGTTAAAAACAGTGCTAGATGCTCTTTCTAACTAATTAAAATATGATTTCAAACAACTTATTTAGCATTATTTTCATTTCTCAGTTATAATTAATAAATAAAACTAATCATTTGTCTACATTTCTAGCTCGACACATCTAAAATCTTGTTCTAAATGTAAGTACATGAGGTACTGTTGCAGAAATTGCCAGGTAGTGTTCACTTCTAAATTTGTAATTATTACTAAATATAAATTATAACTTTCATTAATTAAATTATATAACTATTATTAATTACTAAAAGAGTTATTACCTAATCTACTTTGGGATTCTTTGTAGTTTTTTTAATAATTTTTACATTGAAAAATATCTGTTTTTCTAACTTTCCCAAAAAATGTTCATCTTATTTAGAAAAGCGATTGGAAATTTCATAAATTTGAATGCAAACTAATGGTAGATAGTCAAAAACACAGGCTGGATGAATATACACACATGCTATATAGGCTTCATCAATACTCACAGGTCTACTTTGTTATTCATTTATTAATTATAATGATATAAAATTAATTATTAATTATTTTATAGAAAAAAATAATTAAATTTGTTTGTTTGTTATAATAATTCTGAAACAAGTTCAGTTAAATCTAGTTAATTTAAGTATAAAAACTTTTTAATTCTTGTTAATCGAAGAGAAATTATTTTTAACAAAGTCAGAAAAAGGTCGCAGTGAAATGCAGGAGGTACTGGGAATAGAGAGAAATTACTCACATCTGATGTCTCGTAAGGTTCCAATTTTTTTTTTACTTAAAATTATGAAATTATTAATTAATTGTTATCATAATAATTATCATAATCATCATTATTATTATTATTAATTATAGTGTCATAATTATAAATATTATTATCTTAATTTGTTTTTATTAATTTCTACTGCTCCTTCCATTCAGACGTCGATGAGATAAAGCAAAGTGAAAAAGCGATGAGCACCTTTATGAAGAGGGCTGTTGAAATTAAACACTTCATCAGCAGGAATGGAGATACTAACATTGGTTGTAGTGGTGATGGTTGTGAGAGTGATGCCGTAGAATTGAAGAACCCTGGTATGTTGTTAGAGACTTTTGGTAAGGTGTGTGTAATTTTTTTTCCTGGTTTTTTGGTAAGCGGTTTTCTACATTGATAAATTAATTGTCTTTGTTTTATCAAATTTAGACATTTCTATGGCTTTGTTTTCTAAATTTTTACCTTTCTTCTCTCTATTCGTTTTTTTTAGCAAAATTTTTTCATTTCAGATGGTGGTTAATAGTTACTCAATATTAGATGAGGATTTAAATAATATAGGCACTGGATTTTATCTCGGGTCAGTCAATCAACATTGTTTATGTGCGTGTGTGTGTGTGTGTGTGTGTGTGTGTTTACATGATTGTTTGTTGCGACAATGATTAAATAAGCAAATAAAAAAAACCGAATAAATTAACAAAGTTAAATTTGTTAAAAAAAATTAAATTAGTAAACCAGAAACAAAATTCTCCCCAGCCCATCCATCATAGACCATAGCTGCAGACCGAACTGTGTCATCACTTTCAATGGAATAAATATGGTGGTGAAATGCCTGAAGGACGTTAGCATGGGAGATCGCGTAAGCATGTTGTTCCGTATGCTTCTGCTGTTTTCTTATTTTTGATGTTTTTTTTCTAACTTCTAACTTTTCTAACTTCTAACTTTTCTAACTTTTTTCTTCTAACTAATTTCTTTTGTTTCTCGTTTTCTTTGTCTTTCGCTTTTTCTGTCCTTTTCTTTCTCACTCTATTTTTCTCTTCTCTCTTTCTCTCTCTTTTCACTCTCTCTCTGTCTACTTTTGTTTTTATAATCTATCTTTCTTTCTCTTTCAATGCAACAAACATGTGTACACACACTTTTTTTGTCGTATAATATAATAAACACACACACACACACTCAAATAAACACGCGCACACAAATACATACACAAACACACATACATAAACACACACACACGCACACACACACGCAGTTGTACATGAGCTACGTTGATTTAATGAACCATAGAGAGGGTAGAAGAGAACACTTACTAAGGACATACTTCTTCCACTGTGAATGTGAAGCCTGTAATGACCACGAAATGGTTGGCAGTATCTACTAGTATTATGCTTCAGTTTCTTATATAATGTATGTATATTATTATCATTAACGCTTTCTTCTTATTGCTACTGATATTATTATTATTATTACTGTTAGAGTGAAAATAATAATGATAATTATTGTTAGTAGTATTATTCGTTATATTGTTCATAAATAGGAAAGAAACATGTTGACTGTAAGATGTTTGGGAACTGGCCAAAATGATAATAGCAATGATGATGCCTGTGGTCTTTTCAAATCTTTTAAAGATGATTTGGAGGCAGTTAAAAAGTCATTTGATCTTTTGAAAGGTAAACGTTTAGATTACATTCTTCCCATTTGGATAGTTCTAACTTAACTATATTTTCAATTATTTATATATATATAAATATTTATATATATATATATATATATATGTTTTGTGTGTGTATGTGTGTATATGTGCGTGTAGAATTTACATGATAATAACGTGTGTGTCTCAATCTTGATTACGAGTGAATTAATTAATTAGTTAATTAATTATAGTTTAATTGATGAATTAATTGAGTATAAACTCATAACTTCGTATACTTTTTCAGGTAGAGAAGTTACTGAAGAACTTGGCGAACATAGGAGGGAATGTTTCAGCAAACTGCTTGATACCTATTCACCGATTAACATTCACATATTCAGATCATTGGATGAAGCCTTTGAGATCTGCATAGAATTAGAGCTCTGGTCTGAAGCCTGCTACTACGGCGAAAAGTTGATCCCCATCTACCAGTTAGTGGAAAATAATTTCTATATTTTATCATCATTAATAATATTAGTATGAATATTTTTATGATTTGTATAATCTTAATTTATTTCTTTCATATTAGCTTTGTTTGTAATAAATCAATTTTATACATGAGCCACTATATAGATTGGATAAAATGATTAATTATTTAATCATTTTGATTGCTTAATAAGCTAATTAATTAATTAATTGCTTAATTAATTAGATTTTATCTGAAAGATCCCAATCCTAATTTTGGGCACTTTCTTGTTAAACTGGGAAAGATCTATCTATACCAAATGCAACGTATTGAGGCTCTGAAATGCCTTGAAAAGGTGACCATATGTATCTTATCTGGTGTGTGTGTGTGCGTGTGTGTGTGCGGTGTTTGTCAAATAATAATTCATAATACAAATAATAATGAAAATAATAATATTAAAAATAAATTAACTCTTTTTGTTGACGCAGGCGAACGATATCCTATCAGTTACACATAGCCCGGAAAATGCATTGTACATTAGATTGCAATCATTGCTAATGCAATGTAGGCAAGAACTATCTTTGATGTAATTGAACGTTGGAGCTACTTCGTTATTTTTCACCATGGTTCTGTTATATATACATAAACTCATACAAAAAGCACATACTTATACATACATACATACACACACACAGATACATACATACATGCAATATATATACCGACATAATTTTTATTAAACATAAAACCTTTGGATATGTGCTATGATTGTAATATTGAAAAGTATTTTGATGTAAGAGCAATTTTAAAATTTAATAAAATTCAACTAATAAATAATAAAAATAAACATTCCATTTACAAATAAACTTATCTTTATTTATTCAACCTATCGCAAAAAAGCTTATTAAACTATTCATGCAATTATATTTTGTAACTGTAGCAATAAAAAGGGAAAGACTTGTATTTTACTATCATATGTTTGCTTGCATGTACGTATGTGTGTGTATCTATACTTACGCATGTTTGTGTGTATAATGGTATATGTGCTTATAGAAGTATTTGTTGCTTCATAAAATGTATCTGTGTTGATTTTTATGTACCAAAATTGCGATCCTACCTGTTGAAAGCCGAAATAAAAGCTTAACAAAACAAAAATAATTTCAAAACAATTTTTGTCCTCAATGATGCTTGTACGTTCGTATGCATTGTGTGCGTGTATATATGTATGTATGCGTGTGTGTGTTTATGTATGTGTGTTCTGTGTACATGTACGAATGTATTGAAACAAATAGCTAAACATAAAATGAAATGAAATGATTAAAAATTCAAATGTCATCTTTCCGTCCTGTTCTTCCTCCTTATTTGATTCAAAATGCTTTTTTAACTCTCTGCGGCAGTATGGAATCTTGAGCGGACTTCAAGAAGTACAGCAATCCATACTTTTTACCTTTCCTTTGGAAATAACTCGTAACTATGTCGGAATCGTTATCTGATGTTAGAAAGTTATTGTGTTACGTTAGTTTAGTTAGGTGTTAATTTGTCTATTTATAATTGGTTGGCCCGTCGGTGTGAGCAGTGACCGCATTCGAATGCAGGGAGATCCGCGCTTATCACATGCGTACGTGTGTGTGTGTGTGATGCCTTGTTTCACGTGTGTACTCACATGCACTGTGTGTTTGTTGTTGATGCTTCTGAAGAATACTGAGGAGAGGAATGTAATGAATAAGCAGACGTTTATGTATTCTTGTAAATGTTTAGCAACTGAAGTTTTTCGTTATTTTTGGATATTGAAAACATTCCCATTTGAACATACATACATACATACATACTGACATACATACATACACACACACTTGAATACCTAGACGTATACAACACAGACACACTCATATATATATATATGTAGACACACATATACACAAATTCTTAACCAATTCTTTCAGGAGTAATGGATGTAGGTAGAACATTATCACTGGCTGACAATGAAACAAACAGTGCTAAAGGAACCAGCCATAGGTTTATTGTGAAGAAACCCAGCACCTTATGAGTATGTGAGTGTGTGATGATTATATTTGTATAAAAACAGACAGAAAAAGCACACAAACAAATTAAATGAATAAAAATAAATTATGGACGGTAATAGCGAATAATAATAATATTATAATAGAAATAAACATAAAAGTCACTTCGGAGAATGTGTATTGGTGATCTGTGAAATGAGAGAATGCCAAATAGTGCTCAACTATCAGGAGACCTGAAAAATAAAAATAATAATAAATAAATAATATAAATAAAATATAATAATAATTAATAATATAAATAAATAACATGAATGAATGAATGAATAAATGAATGAATTAAAATGTTCTTTTTAATGGCATTAGTGTTATCAGCAGATGCAATAATAACAGATTACATTTAGTAGTTGGTGTAAAAATAATAATAATATAATAATAAAATAATAGATGGTGAATAGATGAACAATTGTTATTTGCTGAATCATAGACTTTATTGTTTTTGCAAAATTTTTCAATTAAAAAATAATTATTTATCTTGGGTATATGTATGAGCCATTAGGTAAAACATAGACTACAAAAACTTAAAACATAAAAAAAAGACCAACCAACCAACCAAATGATAATATGAACCATGGAGATGACAACTGAATGAACGGAAAAGTTTGCAAAACGAGATGGTACATGAGATTCGATAGTAAGCACGACACTAGCAATGAAGTCGGTAACTCTTCAAAGAATATGTGACATACCATTAGTAAAGCTGTACACTGTGTTGGGTATGATTGATGAGGAATTAGCGTCAGTTTAGTAGTAATTTCTGCCAGTAAGGTTTTTAAAATTTTAATGTGTGTCTCTATTTACTATTTAGTTAGCGTAATGTTTGTTAATAGTGTTATTTAATCAATTAGGAATTAATTAAAATTAGTGAATTACACTGACATAATTGATGTATCTGATGATTTTGCCAGATATGACTGTGAATTCTTCAACTAACTCTGCAAGGTAGAAGAGACCAGCCGCTGTAACATGGTATTTTTAAAATTGATATAACTATGAATTATGATTTTAAGATCTATCTTATGGTCTTATCTTATTTTTATACTTATTGTTTCAATTTATAACTTTATTAAAAAATTAGTAAAAAATTTAAAAATAAATTGTCGACCAATGGAGAGAGTGATGACAGTCAGCTGCACCAAGAAGCCAGCCCACGAAATGGCATACATGAACCACATCTTAACCTAGATTCCTAATTTCAGGAATTCTTATGGTTTTTTAATACGCCGACGAAAAATTTAAACGTAAGTTTAATTGGACTGATTGTTATTTGTTTAATAGTAAGCCTAGCGACTATTTAATAAATTTATTAATACCTAGGTTGTAAATATCATATCATAGAAATTAATCAATTAATCAATTAATCAATTAATTAATCGATTAATAAATTAAGTAATTAATTAAAAGTAATTAAGATAGATGTTTGTATAAATTGAATTATCATCTATATTCATGGATGCATTCTAGAGAGTTTTATTGAGTTTTTTTTATAACTGTCACAGAAATGTCATTTAATATCGTATTAATTTTTGAACATATCAAAAGGACTGAAGCGTTCTATGACTGTTGAATATGGAGAGAGTTGGTTGAATGATGTTTCATTTATTTTTTTACCCTGATTTATTAAGTTAGACTGCGAATCTGGCTGGATGAGATGAGTGAGTGATTGAGTGAGTGAGAGTGTGATTGAGTAAGTGAGAGTGTGATTGAGTAAGTGAGAGTGTGATTGAGTAAGTGAGTGAGTGAGTGAGTGAGCGAGTGAGTGAGTGAGTGAGCAAACGTTAGAAAATGAGTTACATTTCAAGTTTTGGATGAAAATCGAATCTATCAGGAAGAACGAAACCTCAATTCATTTAAATAATTTTAAGCTGTCGAAAAATAAGAAGGTTATAATGAAATCATTAAATTAACATATCGAGTGGAGGTCACTGTCGACTTTGAAATTTGAATTACTCAATTATTATGAAGATATTATATATATATAATTATTATATAACTTTTTGTGTTCTGGGGCGGATCTAGACAGCTTTGACGTAAAGTCAAAATTTTGAAATTGTTTAAGCTTTGACAGAAGAGCCAACAACCTTGACGGGGGACCCTAGAAAAAGTCAAGATCAGAAGTGTCTTTTGGGATTCTATAAAGTGGGAGATACTTCAAAAACGGGGCTCTGGGGCTTTCTTTAAAATAAAAATTTGGCGATTTATTTTTGGCTCACCACAAATTTTTTTTAAATTTTGATGTGAAAATATCTGGTTATATGTTATCTGGCCCTGGCTTAAAAATGGTTCTTACCTGTCCTATGCCTGTGCGTGTGTTTGTGTTTGTTTGTGTGTGTGTATGTGTGCGTGCGTGTGATTTTATATTTTAAATAACTAATCATGATTTTTTTCACATGACTTTGACAAAGTCGTCATAAAATAAGTGTGTTAAACTTCATAAATAAGTTGCCCATTCAAGCTATAAAATGATACATACATTCGCATAAATACATACAAACAAACAAACATTCTTTCATACATATATACTGTTATATAATTTATTATTTACCAGTCTACTTCAATTTTATAGGCAGGTTATTATTTATTGATGTGATAATATATTTTTGAAATCGTTTGCAACTTAAATGGAACTCAAGTGTAATGTAAATGCAAATGAAATGTGTGTGTGTATGTATATGTGTGTGTTTGTATGTATGTATGTATGTATGTATGTATGTATGTATGTATGTATGTATGTATGTATGTATGTATGTATGTATGTATGTATGTATGTATGTATGTATGTATGTATGTATGTATGTATGTATGTATGTATGTATGTATGTATGTATGTATGTATGTATGTATGTATGTATGTATGTATGTATGTATGTATGTATGTATGTATGTATGTATGTATGTATGTATGTATGTATGTATGTATGTATGTATGTATGTATGTAGGTTTGTAGGTTTGTTTGTTTGTAAGTATGTATGAGAATAAACACTTGAAAATTTTGTAGTAAGGCAGACAGAATAACAAACAAACAGATAGATATATTGTTAGATAGTGTATAATTATTTGACACTATTTTTACGTTCCTGTAAATGAAGGCATATTTAAAAATTTTCAAATTTTTAAAATTATTTTTAAATATTTTTGAATATTTTTAAATAGTTATAAACAATAAATACAATTGAAAGACTTTTTTTCAATTTTAAAAATTAAAATTTAGAGAAAATGACTCTTCGATTGCCGAACTTGACTCCTCTAATTCAAATAACAATTTTGATAATAAATTTATATTTTGCGCCATCTATCGGGTCCCCATCACCTTCATCTTCATCATCATCTTCATCTTCACCATCAAATTCATCCAATGGAACTGATCATAATAACGGTCACGGCGTTTCACTGGCCTCTTGGAAATTGGAATACATTAGTCCCATGCTACAGATTGCATTCTTCGTACTAATTGCTGGATTGATTAAGATTGGTTGGTCGGTTGTTTAGATGGTCGGTTGGATGGATGGTTGGTTGGCTGGTTGGTTGGTCGGTTGGATGGTTGGTTGGCTGGTCGGTTGGTTGGATGGTTGTTTGGTTGGGTGGTTGGTCGTCATCATCATCACCATCGTCATCATCATCACCATCGTCATCATCATCACCATCGTCATCATCATCACCATCGTCATCATCATCACCATCGTCGTCATCATCATCATCATCACTAACAGGCTTCCATCACGTTCCATACTTGCCCAACTTTATTCCAGAGTCGTGGTTAATACTCAATTTATGATAGTTATCCATTATAACTACTACTACTACTACTACTACTACTACTACTACTACTACTACTACTACTACTACTACTACTACTACTACTACTAATAAAAATAATAATAATAATAATGTTATTAATATTAATGTTTGCAGTGTCTTGATAATGATCGGAACGGCGGCTGGTGCAATATTACAGTAATATTTTATAAAGATGTTATAAAGATGAATGGATGAATGAATGAATGGATGAATGAATGAATAAATGAATTAATGATTAATGATTAATAATAATAATAATTATTTATCTATTATTAATTCAAAATAATTATTTATAGTTTCCAGTCGGGTGTAGATGAGTCATTCCGCCTGGAGCCTCGAACTTTCTTTCTATTCTTACTTCCTCCGTTAGAATGAATGAATGAATGAATGAGTGAATGAATGAATGAGTGAACGATTGAGTAAATAAATTGATGAATGAATGAGTGAATGATTGAGTGAATGAATGAATTAATTAAAAAAAGTAAATAACTGGCTGAACAAACAAATGCGATAAAAGGATAAACGTTATCAAACGTTTGTAAACTTAGAACTCTAAAGAAACAACAACAACAATAATTATTATAATTATTATTTCAATATTATATGATGACTGCAACTTATAATTATAATTATTATTTCAATATTATAATATAATTATAATTATATTTAAAGAATAGTTTTGGAGGCTTCTTTTACATTGGACAACCATGCATTCAGAGAGAACATCGGAACGATTTTGCTCTATGCCGTTGTGGTTGGTTTGATCATATTGTGATTTCTACTTCCGCTTCCTGTTTCTATTTACATATTTCAACTACCCATCAATCATTCATTCATTTATTCATTCACTCATTCATTTATTCATTCTTTCTGTCGTTTATTCATTCATTCATTAATTTTCATTAATTTCTTGACCTCGCTCAATCTTTAGTTTAATTAAATTATAGACGAAATTAACGTAAAATTAACCATTCAAAACAATGAAACGCAAATGAAATATATAAATTAAAAGTCTTAAAAGTATACAATAAATATAAAAACACACACACAAATACACACAGACACTCACACACACACACAAACACACACAAACACACACAGGGAACAGTAATAAACTTCATAATAATCGGCTTCGCTCTTTACGGTTTGGCCGTAGCTGGCGCATTCGGAGATACCCACGTGACTAAATTAGAGTACCTTCTCTTCGGCGCACTGATCGTAGCAGTCGATCCGGTGGCCGTCTTAGCCATTTTTCAAGATGTCGGCGTTAATGAAGTTCTTTACTTTTTGGTCTTTGGAGAGTCTTTATTGAATGGTTGGTTGGTTTGTTGTTGGTTGGTTGATTGGTTGGTTGGTTGATTGAGTAGTTTGTTGGTTGGCTACTGCCGTTTTTACTACTACTACTATTACTACTACCACTACTACAACTACTACCATTACTACAACTGCTACCACATCTACAGATGCAGTAACGATTGTGTTGTATAACACGATGGAGGCATTCACTAAAACACCCAATATTCATCCAACTGAGGTCTGTCAATCAATTATTCATTCGTTCATTTATTCATTCGTTCGTTCGTTCATTTATTCATTCATTTGTTCGTTCGTTCATTCGTTCATTCATTTATTTATTCAACCAGTCGATCGATATATTAGTCTGTCAATTCATCAATTCATCAATTCATGTTTTATTTGTATGTACGTACATGGGTTTGTCTGTATGTTTGTGTGTGTGTGTTTTTGTATGCGTCTGTATGCCTGTGTTTATGGTTGTATATTTGTATGTTCGTTTGTATGTTTGATTGTATGTATGTGTATGTTTGTATGTTCGCTGACATGTGAATTATATGTTTGTGCATTAAAACTTTAAACTTAATTCGTGAAATATTTCAAATATGTCTGATGGTTGTTGCAAAGGTTCAATTCAACTGAAATCATACACACACACACATACACACATACACACACACACAAATATTTACACATACACAAATAGAAAGACACATACACGCATACATACACACACGTATGTACATAATTCTTCAGGTCGTCATTGGGATATTCTCCTTCTTTACCGTCAGTCTCGGCGGTCTGTCAATCGGTATCCTATTCGGTATAGCTACTTGCCTAATTACTCGAGTGACGTCACACGTGAGAGGTTATGATGATGATGATGATGATGATGAGGCTGATGATGATGATGATGAGGAGGAGGATGACGAGGATGATGATGATGATGGTGACGACGATGACGACAATGATGATGATCGTGATAGTAATAATAACAACAACGATGATGACGACGACGATTTGATGGTGATAATGATCATCATCATCATCATCATCATCACCATCACCACCATCATCATCATAACTTGCAGTGGCTGAACCGCTTGCTATATTGACGATGGCATACATGTCTTACTTGTGCGCTGAGCTATTTCATTGGTCAGGAATAATCAGGTGATCAGTGACGTCACCAGCATCGTCATCATCATTATTATAATCATTATCATCGACACCATTGTTGTCATCGTCACCATTACCATCAGCATCGTCGTCGTCGTCTTCATCATCTCCAAAATCTCGTCATAATCATTTATCATTGTTCCTATATTCATCGTTGATTACATCTTAAATTCAACATCAGATATCGAAATTACATTAGTACTGACAAAAATTATAACAAATAATAATAATAATAATAATAAATTATAATAATAATATTAATAATAATAAATACAGTTTGATTGGCTGTGGTATAGTGGAAGCCCACTATGCATTTAAGAACATATCCAGCAAGTCGTACATCACAGTTTTGTATTTCATTAAGATGCTTGGGTTTGTATGTTTGTACGTATGTTTGTTTGCACGTATGTGTGTGTGTGTTTGTTTGTTCGTTACGTTTGTTTGTTTGTTTCTATTTCTATATGTGTATATAAGGAACAAACCATTACTATATTATGCACTATGATAATACAATACAATACATCACAATACGAAACGATTCATTATGAAACGAAACGAAACGAAACGAGATGATACTACCACTCAGATCGTGTTGTGATTCAATTGTGTTCTTGTTCCTTGGGTTGGAGCTGGTACGGGCGGAGCACTTCTGGGGAACTGGCTTCATATTATCAACCATTGCTTTGTGTTTGCTTGCTAGGGTTGTTAGTGAGTATATAAATGTGTACGTGTGTGTGTGATTGTGTGTTTGTGTATGTCTTTGTGTGTGTGTGTGTGCGTGCGTTTATATGTGCGTGTGTGCTTGAATGTCTAGGTATGTTTGCATAACAAATATGTCAACAGCATCATTGTCATCATCATCATCATCGTCATCATCGTCGTCGTCATCATCGTCGTCATCATCATCATCACCAGGCGTGTTCGGATTGACTCTTTTCGTGAACATCTTCAGTAGCGGACCAAAAATAAAAATGGCCGACCAGTTTATTATGGCGAGTAGATAATTATCATATGCAAATTTATTAATTTATTCATCAATTAATACGCAAATTTATTAATTTATTCATATAAAAGTGGTACGGAGGCCTGAGAGGAGCTGTATGTTTCGCGCTGTGCAATTCACTTCAGTTGGAACCAAGTACTAAGAACCTGTTCCTCACGTGCACATTTGCCGTCATCATCTTTACTGTGTTTTTGCAGGTGTGTTTGTGTGTGTGTGTGTTTGTTTGTGTGTGTTTGTGTGTGTGTGTTTGTGTGTGTGTGTCACATGTACACACACACACACACACACACTTGTTATTAAGTCAAAAAATGTCACCTAAATATAATATAACAATTCGTCGAATATCAACACCAACAACACCAACAACAACACCAACAAAAACAACAACAACATTAACACCACCAACAACAGCATCAACAACACCACCACCATCAACCACAACAACAACAATCGCTCAGGGCATAACAGTTAAACCCCTGGTGAAGTACTGCAAAATCGTTGGCAAAGATGATGAAGATACCCCACTGATGGCCGAATTCCAATACATGGTCATTTATTATTATTATTATTAATTTTATTATTATTATTATTGATATTATTATTGTTGGGAAACGAGATGGTATAATAGTTATACCATATAGTAGTGTGTGTGTGTGTGCGTGTGTGTGCGCGTGTGGTTATATTTATTTTTGGTTGATAAATTATTAAAGGAGAATTCAAAACAATAATCATCATCATCATCAACATCCTTCCATCATCTTCCTCATCATCACCATCATCATCATCATCATCATTTTCGTCATCATCATCATCATCATCATCAGATGTTCCAAAAGATGGTAGTTGCAGTAGATGCTATATTGGATCAGAAAGACAGAATGAAGGTAACCTGTGCGTGCCTTTTAAAATTATCATCATAAAGTTTACAGTGATAGCCAAATGGTTAGAACAGCAGATCGTTATAGCGTACTGACCGGCTTCGAACGCAAGAAAAAGACTGATGAAGATTGATACACATCTTAATTTATGCGAAAACATACACTAGCGGAAGTGAAATGAATACTCGCAGTAACATTTCGTCATAATTGCTGAATGATAATTATTTTTAGTAATTACATTCATAATTCGATTTAATTACGTTCATAATTCGATTTAATTACGTTCATAATTAGATATAATTACGTTCATAATTCGATTTAATTACGTTCATAATTAGATATAATTACGTTCATAATTAGATATACTGCACAAAGTTGGATGAAATTATGAAAAAAATTTTATTGAATCGAGACTTGACGAGGGAGGAAAAATTCATCGAAGCGTACAAAGAAATCGCTTTAAAGTATTCTCATTATTATTATTGTTATTGTTATTATTATTATTGTTGTTGTTATTATTATTATAGTCATTTGTAGTCGTAGTAGTAGTATATTAATAGTAGTAGTAGTAGTAGTCAACAATTATTAACCATCAAAATACTGTTTTTAAACAATCAGTCATTTAGACAATTAATCAACCAATCAATTAACCAACTAATTAATCAACCAATCAATTAATCATCAATAACAACAACAATAATAAACAGGCGATACAAATCAGTACTCGGAAGAGAATTCGGTCCCGAACCGCCTATGGGCGTGGTTAAGTGAGTAACTGATTGCTGATTGGTTGGTTGATTGATTAGTACGTTACCGGGCTGGTTGATCAACCGTTTATAATCAATCAATTAACCAACCAATCAATCGATTAATCAACTAATTAACCAATTATTTAACCGACTAACCGACCGATTAATTAATTTTTTCGGACAGCCATGCATTCGTTCCGATAGCTGAAGATGAATGTTCTCTGGAGGACGAACTCGTTGATGACGTCAAGAACGAACTGACACAAGGTCAAGGTCATCATGATGAGGATGATGAGGATGATGAGGAAGATGATAATGATGGTGATAATGATGATGATGGTGACGATGATGGTGACGACGACGACAATGAAAATGAGAATGATGATCATAAAAAAAATCCTCAAACAGCAAATGCCTACGATTACGAAGTCTCTCCTGCCCCGACACCAGCCCGCCACCGGTCTTCAAGAGTGTCCAGAGTAAGTATGGTGTCCAGGGGTGAAAGTATGACCCGCAACGAAATTGTCAGCATGTACAGGGCCTTGTCCAAGCCTAATTTGGTAAGTTGATCGTGCTGTATTAATATTCGCGCTTGCTTGCGTGATGTGGCTGGTTGGTGTCTGGTGTGGATTTAAATTCTGTGATGTGGTATGGTTCTCGACATCATCATTAACTTCACACGACTCACACACAACTCACACACGACTCACACACAGCTCGCATGACACAACTCACACACAACTCACACACAACTCACACATACCTCACACACAACTCACACACAACTCACACACAGCTCACACACAACTCACACACACACGACACAACACTCCAGGTCATCTCGCACATTCTGGATCGGGATTTGAAATATCACGACATCCCGGAAAACCAAATGGAAGCAGAATTCCTCAAAGACAGACACATTCAGGCTTCCATGCTTTCCATAACAACGCAAGATTCACAGCAACAACAGCAGCAGCTGCTGCAGCAGCAGCAGCAACAACAACCACAGTTCTTAACCCTTCCCCAGTTTACCAACAACATCAAACAACATCAGCGGTTTTCTACAACCGCCGCCCCATACTTTAGCATAGTACCTAGAGATAGTATTTTGAAAGGAGCTAGATCTATGTATTTGAAATCCAGGTCTCATTGTTTGTTTAGTTTGTTTGCTTGGTTTGCTTGTTTGTTTGTTTGCGGATTCTCTGATAAAAAATAAGTTAATAGTTGAAGTTAATGATTGCACGAATTAAAATTAATGAATTTAAACTCCAGTAACAATGGCAACCACATAAACAGCAACTATACACACACACAAACAAACAAACAACACAAACAAACAACACAAACAACCCACCAGCCAACGTGATCCAAGACTCTTCTACCAGCCGTCCTTTCAACAACAAACAACAACAACGCAAAACACGGAAACAGACCAAGATGGCGTGATCCAACCACAACAGCGTCAACAACATCCGCAACACTCCAAGATATTAAAACAACAGCAACAACAACAACATCAACAACAACATCAACAGAGACCACGTGCTAAATCTCAAGTGACAATACCGTCTCAATTTTTGCTAAGTCCGGTCGGAGAAGTTCCGGAAGAAACCACCCATGAAGCTACTTCAATAGCCACTACTGCAGCTGAAACTACAGCTACTGTTGCTGAAGAAGCTGCTATAAAAGCTTCTACTGCTAAAAAACCAGCTGCTGATGAAGGTGATGATGAAAATGAAGCTGGCGACACTGATGAAGAAGCGAGAATAAAGTTTAATGACACAAAAATGTAATTAACAGTTGAGAGACTATAATATATTTGTTGAGTGTGTAGTGTGGAGTATTTGTGTGTTTGTGTGTGTGTGTTTGTGCGTGTATTTCTGTACATGAATGTGTTATCAAATGACTGATAATGATTATCTGAATGATGATGATGATGATGATGACGACGATGAAGGCGATGATGATGATGAAGATGAGACAAATCCTACAATCCTTGAAATTGAAACGACATCTCTCAAAATTATGATTTAGAAAATTATGATATTAATAAAACTTACATAAAATTTATGATTATAATTATTAATGTTGTTATTTTTTTTATCATTAATTATTATTATTATTATTATAATTAATATTATTACTTAACTGTCATCGCTTTATCATCACTCTTCCCTCTTAACTGCATTATCAGCGGTCGCCAGATAGCAACATACAGACAATGATGTGAGCGACCTTTCATTTTACTTCTGAAACATACATTGTAATTATAAAGTTAAAATGGCGAAACTTATAATGTAAACTACATAAAGGTATTCTACACAGAGCTCGCCATACATTTCAAACGGACAAAAAGAGAAATAGAATCAGCTTAAATTAGGTTAAAGTCGTGTAAATTGCGTAAGAAGGCGATGCTATTAAACTTATTAATTAACTAATTAAACTTGAACTAATTAAATTAATTAAACTTCTGCAAAAATGGTCAGGCCAATTAAAAATAGTTTAAAATATTTAAAAAAAACCTAGCGGGGAAATTTCAAATGAATTTATCATTAATTTTTGAGCTTTTCTATTCGTCTATCAAATTGTAATTAAGATTTTGAAAGTATTTTGATGTTTTATATTTCTTACATTTAGAGAAGTTAGATTCGTGGCAAACTGTTTATTCCAGTATTTCAATGGTATCCCCTCGTCGGTTGGCAATATCTGGACGAAGTGATTTGAAGAGAGGTGATACTGGAAGGTATTTGTTTGCAGTTGGAATCTGCGTAGATCAATACATGCGCACCTGTAAATGATTTAATTTAATAATAACAATAATAAATAATAATAATAAATTAATAATAATAATGACAACAACAATTTACATGTACAATAACTGATAGCGAACAATATGGTCGATAAGAAACTTGACGTTAATTAATTTTGACAACGACGACGATGATGATGATGACGTTGGTAATAATAATAATAATAATAATTATTATTATTATTAATAATAATATAAACATTTATGAAGCGCAATACTAGTCATAGCAGTAACAAAGAAGAATAAAATATTAATTATAACGGGATGATGATAACTTCGATGACGATGATGTCAGTTATGATAATGATGATGACGTCGATAATGACGATGATGATGACGATGATGAAGATGATGATGATTATGGTGATGATGATGATGATGATGGGGATGATGATGATGAAGATGAGGATGATGATTGTTGGCAATAAATTCAGCCCGGCTCTCCAAAAGAACTTATCAATTTCTAGATTTTATGATCGTCATCTTGCTGTTTCTAATTATAACATCGTCACGTCATCATCACCATCATTGTTATCATTATCATCATTCATCATCACCATTATCATCAGCATTCTCAAAGCTGACATTTATATCACGAAACTTATCATCATCAGCTTTTATCATCATCACCAACACCATCATCATAATCACAATCATCACCACCACTATCATAATCACAATCATCACCACCACCATCGTCGTCATCATATTGGCCTATTGTAATATTAATAATCCCCAATGGCCACTTGTGTTGAATTAAGATAACATTATCATCTTCCTTATCGTCGTCGTCATCTTCATCTCCTATATACATATATATTTATATACTACTATATATATTATATATAAAATATATCTATAATTATATATATATATATATAAATATTATGTATATATATTTATATATTTTTATACAAATATATATATACAATTCTTATCTGCCATAAATCTGCCAATATTACTTATTCCCAAGAAACACACGCAAACACGTAAAAGCACTCATATGGGGTGTGTTGATTAGTAGCGTGTGGGTGGACATAGGGACTGTCATACGAGTGGAAGGGCCAGCCATTCGCCCCCCCAGTGATTTGAAATATGGTAGTGCTGTGGCT